GAGAGTTGAAAATACGACGCGCAGCGGAGTATTTTTGACGAACTTCGAGGTGTTTCATCTGGTGATGAAACACTGTGTCGAATGTTTGATATTTCTTCTCAAACAAAATCATTTTTGAAGGAGAAATTAAGGATGCAAATACTAAGCAGTGTTTCATCCGATTTCCAAACACTCATTAAACATTAATTTCCTTTGTATTTTCTTAATGAATTATTAATGAGTTTGAGAACTAGTTATGAAACACGATCTGCTGCTTTTTAGTTTTGCCATGGATGAAATGGATGAGATTTTCCTTCGTGTTTTAGACAGTACTTAGTTGTTTTTGTTTTGGAATAACATCGACATTGGCGAGTAGTAGAACGAAAATATAATTCAGTGGTAGAGTCATGGAAGTAATGAGAGAAACCCTTTGAAAGAGATGTTTGTCTACTCCAATTAAACCTCTCGCAAAAAATAGCAACATTTGCCTCTCGGAGACAGCGTACCAGCACAAAGAAACGAGGAAGAAGTGCAAGAAAACAACTCAAGCCGCCATAATTCAGTGACAGCAGCAGTGTCTAATGGACAAACCACATCGCAAACCCTGACCGAAGTCGAAAACAAGCGACAGTTCTAAGCAGAGTCCCAGTCCACTGCATCACACCTTTTTGCTCGGATGCGCTCGTTTCACCGCCCAACCTTTATCCGCCCTGCTGATAATGCATTAGCAGGCCGCTGTCAGTCTTTTGCGGCCCGCTGAGCGTGTGTTTTGAAGAGGCCGATTTTCTATATGGCCGCGTATATTGATAATAATGGGGCTTTTAAAGAGCATTGCCGTGATTATAATGTGCAGTCGACCAGTTAAAAAAACAACCTTCCTAAACTTCTATCTCGTGCAGCAGCACGAGAACAGCTGCGAGAACCTGAACAGTGATGGATTAATAGTTTGTCTGGGTAAGGGTTAAGGTTGGGGAACTTGCGGTTTTGCAAAAATTTAAACATGAAAGGAAAAATGATAGACTAAATGAATTCTGATCTTCGTAGTAAAAGCACGTCATCGTGCAAATGGCCTATTTGATAACTGTACCGGACTGCTCACTCTTTAATGTCTCTGTAAAATTTTATCGAAATCGCCTCCGTCTAAAACAGCCAATACATAAGCATTTTAAAAGAAGTAGATCAAGCAAAATTTTGCCTTTTGAAATGAATTCATGAATAGTTTGGTGTCCCGCGCGACCTTGAGGAGGGCGCTCATACTTCTGAAATGCTTTACCAATTATGCTAATTTCATAACATCTGTAACATAAGCAAAACACAGATGAAACGTTAATAAACCGTCTGTACAGCTGATCAGAGACCCACCGTTTGTCGATTCGTTTAATTTGGACAAATCTTTCATAGCGCAACTTTAACGCTCTTAGGAATTTAAATCGAATCTTTCAAGTCTTATACAAGTTATTCTTGTCAAAACTTAACAAATGGCACGTTTTTAGATTTCGTTTCACAGAAATTTACTTCTCGGGGAGTGAAAGTTTAAAGTGAAAACTCTTTCTTATTCTTAATATTCGCTACCTCCTCACTGACGAATCCCAGTTTTCAAACGTTAACCTTGTACTGCAACACTCTCACAAGTTAAGAGTCTCTTAATACGATAGCGATAATTACTACTGAAAACGAGGCAGATAATCGGATTGATAGCACAGTTTGCGTAAGCCATAAAGAGGGTGACAGTATCGATTAGACTACAGCACGACCTAATGGAACTGTCCGTTGTAAAATAAAACATTAACTGGGTACTGAAAAAGGGTATCCAGCAAATGAAAAACACTGCAACGATAGCAATAGCCATTTTAAGGACATTTCTGTTTCTTCTTGTCCGCTGTTCCTCGGCGTTGGCTGACTGTTCACCTGGATGAGCTTGTTTTTTAAGCTTGATCATGATTATGGAGTAAAATGCAGCCAAAAGGACGGTAGGGATGTAAACGAACACAATAGCTATTATTAGAAAATAAATGGCATATGAGCTTTTCTCTCCAAAGGCCTCCCGCCACTGACGCTCGCACACTATTCCTTCTTGGTCTTCAACTAGTTGGAAAGCAAACAAGTATGGCGATACTATCGTCATTGCAACAATCCACGTGACAGGAATAAAGAACGCACAGAGCTTGGGACTGACGATAGGAGAACGTAGTGGAAATACAACCGCTCCAAATCGATCGACTGTTATTAGAACCAGGCTCTGAATCGAAACTGACGTGGAGGCATCTGCAAGGAAAACGTGTAGCTTGCACAAGGCCTGACCAAGGCCACCATTAATGGGCCAAGAGCAAACGTGCAACTCTGCCAGGCGAATAGGAAATAGGATTACTGGAAAAAGCAAATCTGACGTGGCCATGTTCACGATCAATAGGTTAATCGGTTTTCTTAAAGTTGGTGTTTTGTAGACAATTATTCCGATAAGAGAATTTCCAACCAACGAAACAACAGTGATCAGACAGTAAGCTACTGTTTTTGCAAGTTTTTCTGCTGACGGATTTATCGGACTGCAGAAGCTTCCGTTCCCAGTCTGCTCCACCAGTGTTGTGTTCATGTTTTATTGTTTCTCTGAGGTTAAGTATTCCTTTGCTCAAGTAGCAAATCAGGGCACAGCATTCCCTGTGTCTTATTGTGCGTCGTTCCTCATGCTCAGTGCTGGCTGATCCCTCACCTCGATGAAATCGAACTTGTTGATTCCGGGGAAGGGTACTTCGCTGTGATCTACAAACTAGTTATAGCTATCGTTAAGTGCCAAGGAGCAAAGATTTCACCTATTATACGCGCGCGCTGTTCAATTTTACTGCTCAATAGCGTAGCGCGCGAATGACGTTGGAGTGACCAATTTTGCAATTTTTGTCACAGTTTTGTCATTTTTCTCATTTTAATGACAAAAGACAGACAAACATGACATTTTAAAATGACAAAAATCAGATAAGTTTCGAGTCTATAAATAGTAACTGCGTGCATCGCTAATGTCATTATTATTAATTACCGTAATTTACTTAAAATAGTTTAAACTGTTCTACGTCATAAACTATTGTCAGCTTGTGGATTCTCTGTTCCGTATCGGGTGTTTGCTCGAAAACAATGCATTCCCTGCTTCGCATTACGTCATAAACGTTACCTTACACAGACCTTATGTTACACCATTCGAGATTCATTCTGCCTTGGAACTTTATTAGGCTGCCACCTTGCAGCCTCTGCGAGGATGCTCGTTGGACTGAGTTTAAATAGAAGTCATCATGGACAAAGGTGTTGGACTGACCTAGGAGTTATCATGGACAATTGCTTGCTTGCAATTGCCGACGACTCAGTGGAAAAGTACTCATCTCCGACCCGAACATCTTCAAAATGTCGAAATTTGGAGCTAATGAGTTCAATTTTGTCCTACAAGCCTCCCACGCAGTCGTTCTTAGTAAGTGGAGGAGGAAGGCGTGACGAACCCCTGAGACATCTGCGTGGGAGACTAATAAGTTGTTACATATCCAAAGGTCTATTTCTCCAACACAGCGTTCAACAAACAACTTTGACTCATCATGATCAGCACAGCAATCAGCATTGAAGAATATGTAGGAGAATCCTCGTTTACATTTTTTGCCTCATTAACATAGGCTTATCCTTATCTGATGAAGCTAATAAAATGAAATTTCTGAATATTGAAAAAGCATGACAATTTCAGTTATCCCTGAAAATTTGAGCCCGATAAACCAAATAGTTTCAGAGAAATTCTCTTTAAAAAAAATTTACAATGAATTTACAACCTCAATAATGTTTTGCCACCCAGTAATTTTGCAGTTTTTAACAAGCGGGCATTTTGAGACCAGTTTAGCGATGGTCAGTTTCTATGATTACGAGATATGACGTCATAAGAAGCAGGTGGTCAAGCCATTTTTGAGTGAAAATGCATGTTTATTCAACTTTTTTAAAAAAAGGGAAATAGGTGGATGAAATGATACAAAGTGCTTATTTATGTGCTATTTTAACTCCTGCACGTACTTATTCCGCGATTTTAAGCTGATTTCTAATCCTCGTAAAATTCAAGATGGCGACCATTGTTGGTGACGTCACAGGCCTCCAACAGCGCCACCACCCATAAAATACACCTCATCTTGTTGAGAAGATCACAGACTTTCCACTGAATGCAAAATCGTTTCGAAATACTGCAGCAGATCAAAAACTCTGGGGAGGGGTTCCATCAACCCCACCCCCCATACCACGGTGGGGGTAGAATTTGCGTGTACGCCCGAGGGTAAATTGCTGTAATTTCCTTTGTTACTGTTTGCAAAGAGCTGAAACTAGCACAAATTGATTGAAATAACCAGGGTTTTTTTTTTGAACCTAATTTTAATACGGCTAAATCTTCTACGGGTTAACTCGTATGCTAATAAGCAAAATGTAATCAAGGACGTCAAGATGAATCCGCTTATACAGTTGCGTGTCATCAGTATATAGATAGTATAGTAAGTTTTTCTTTTTGATGATATCAGCAATCGGTGAAGTGTAGACGAGGTACAGCAGTGGTCACCGACCACTGAGACACCCCGGGGGGGACTCCGCATATGAAAGGAGTGGGGATGCTCGTCGTCTCGCTTAGGGGTGTAAATTTCGGCTTTCGGTTTCACTTATGGTGTTCTGGGCAAAACACCATCATATTTAGCCATGAAGGTCTCGTTTAGGGTTGCACGCGAAAAAATATAAAAATATATATTTGATATGTATATTTTTAAGTCGTTTTGTTTACTCCATTCATATAATCCAAGTGTCTGTGGTTTAACATGGTCTCTTTTAGGGGTCAAAAAAAGCTGGGGCCACGCCCAGATCGGTCTCCTTTAGGGGTATAATTCAAAATCTCCGACGAGCATCCCCACCCCTTTCATATGCGGAGTCCCCCCGCCTGCCGGGTGAGACACCCGACGCAGCAAAGGTCGCTTTAATGACAGGTCCCCCTCTACTCTGACAAACTGTTTACGGGAAGTTAGGTGAGACTTAAAGCAGGCCAATTACAGTTCCCTTCACTCCGAAAGGGTCCGACAGGACGTCCGAGAGTAAAGATATTAGTGAAATAACTAGAACAGTACCGCGGTCTGATTGTCGAGAGGCGTGTTTGCATGAGAGTATGTAAACATGGTTGTGACGTCAACATGTTTTGTTAGCGCGCTAATCACGCAAGCACGAATTTGAAAACGTTTTTGAGTAGAAGACTTCGTGTACAAGACTTGGTAAGAATTTCTCTTTTTTAGTAAGTGCTATAACTCGTACTTTTTTTCCTGTATTTAAATAGCCTGATATAAACAGCCGAAAGGTTGTCTGTCTCGAATTCTCCCAACGTACCCCTCTCGCGTTTATATCAGGCTATGCAAACACGTAAAACGTTTTCTATTTGTCAAATGTACTTATATACACCTATATACGCCTAAATATATACCGCATTACATTCTCCTAGATAAGCCGTGCATACAGATTATATACACCCGCATAGGCCATTATAAATACCTGTATAAAAGTATACGCCCTATATACACCTACGCATGCATACCTTAATTATATACGCCGTATATACACATTATATCACTTATCCTTATGTACGCGTTATACACATATACATGTCCTTCGTACACTTTAAACACACTTATGTACGCCATATTTACACCGTATTTAGAAATTATATGCACTTTATATTTACATTTTTTTTTCTGTATATCCCTTATATACGCGCTTTTTACTACCGCCTTAATTATAAACACCTATATCCATCACCAGCGTATATACACCTACTATACACCTTATGCACCTTTTGTGTATAACCTCTATACACCATAATTATAAACATCTTATATACACCGTATATCCACATGATATACGCTTTACATGCCTCACTAACACCGTATACAGCTACTTCGAGAAAGGTTGTCGGAAAAAAAAGTGCACGCGACAATCCCGAAATGAAATATGGGATATGATCAATACACTGTTCCTGACACTGTAGCTGTCTAAGCTACTTTTGTTGCTTTCCTTTAATACTCATAAACATATGTTCATGGCCTCTCGTGTCATTCTTTCAAATTTCTTTGAAGAACAGTGAACTCAAAACTACCCACAATACTTTTCGGGATTGTCGCGTTCACTTTTTCTGACAACCTTTCTCGAACTAGATGTATACACTGCATACAAATCTTATATTTAACAAATATATACGCCTGTTTACCTTAGGAAGTCTGTGTTTCGATTTTTCCGTAGTAGAGTGCTCGATACGTTAAAGTATATGCCGGGACCACATTATATACGTCTTACACACCTCTATATGCCCTATATAATGCTTATATATTCTTATACACGCATTATATACAGATCATATACACCTTTTATCGCCTTGTATACACCATATATATACTTAGATACCCCGTATATACACCTGTTTTTAACAATTATTCCACGAGCGGCGTTGGATACGCGCCGAGTTGGCTATAATTATCTCATATCCAACAAGCGCGAGTGGAATAATTGTTTTATTAAAAACGCAAAATATCGAGAATTCTTCCCGACTTTATTTGTAAAAGCAAGCGATTCTCAGGTTGTTTTTAATTTTGAGCAGGCTCGTACAGTTACTATATTTGGAGAGCATGATATGGGCTGTAGAATTGCATTATCCAATGATTCAGTTTCAAATAAAAGCCTTTATTTAAATTATATATAATGTGGTTCGTTTTTATCCTTGGTTTAACTTTTTGTTGTTTCAAAACTATATCATTCATTACCATTCCTAAAACAAAAGAAAAGAAAATTTAAACCCAGTATATATAAAATTGAACGGCAACATACACACCGTTGATACGCATCAGAAACACATTATTATTTGGGCGTCGCCCAAATAGAGAAATCGAGATCGCTTGTTTTGATTCAAAGTTCGAATAGGCACGCAATACGTGCGAACGTAAACAAGCCAAGCGACGTGAATGACGACTCGCACAAGGTAAAAACCATGCCGGAAAGAAAGTTGCGATGAATATGTTAAAGCAACGCAGGGATAAATTTTTAAAAAAGATAAACTTATAAATCTTAGCCTTTTTATCTCACCTAGAAGCCGGTCGATTTTCAAAAATTTGAAGGAAAATCTGTGAATTGACGGGTTTGGATTATGGCGAGTTTAGCAATTCTTTTGCCCTCAGTTGTCGAGAGCCAAAGAAGATGTCACGCAAAATTCCGTAATCGTGCATGAGTTAAATAAGGAATTGTTTCATGAGGGAAATGACATACCGTGAATGGCAATATATAAAGTATTTCAGCAGTTTGATAATTTCATTGTAACTAATGGATGTTAGCCTATTGATCTTAACATTGAATGATGCATAATTATAATTTGCAGATGTTCGGAAAGGAGGTGATTTCTTAAAATCTTATTGAGCAAAATGATCTTCTAAACAAGTTGCATTCTTTCACGTTCAATTGGAACCGTGAAAATGGCAAAGTCCAACATCTTCAAGTGCAAACTGCATGCGTGAGAGTTAGTTTTAAAACTCTTGGGTTAATTAGATTAAGTCGTATAGTCTCATACAC